AAAAACAAAGTTCTCCATTGAAAAACAATGTATGTATAGCACCTGAATCGATTCATTCCTCCTTCATGCGAGTATGTACCGCTGATAGAAAAGAGTGCGTATCTCCGAATTCGAGCCTGAGATGTTCTCGCGTCCGAGAACATGTTTTTATGTGAATTCGTCTAGAAGGGGCGAGTAACAATCTCGTAAATCCATTTAGGGATTCTCTTTTCCATTGTTTACTGGATATTGCAAGGACCCGACGATGAGCGCCTGCGAAGCGAGAGGCAACGAGTGTCTGTCTGCAATTAGAAGCCAAGAATCTGGGTCTACAAAATAGTAAAGATTCCGAACTAAACATTAACAATCAACGGATGACCTGATATTATAAAGGCGAGTGCGCAGCTCGCGAGCTTATCTGCTTGTGGATAATAAATTTGGTGGGCTGGGTCACCAGTTCTATGGCACACATTTGGTGGAAAAAAAAGGATTGGTTATATCGTCCAAACCTGACACATACTTTCTAACCGTAGCACTGATACTGCGCCTTTGTGCCTTACGAAACTGGGTCAGGATGTCTCACATGAGCAAATAGTGCATCGATATTTGGACACATTCATTTATTTTTCTGAGTGAATGACACATTTTTCTACATGACACATGAGTGAATGACACATTTTCGACTCGGCATGCCCAGTCTCAACTCGTTCCTCGGTGAGCTCTGAGCCCACATCTGTGTGGATGACCTTCTTTATTATAAGGAATTTATTGAATCATTCAAGTTGTGTTAAAAAACTCGTCTCAAGGACATACATTCTTGAGTGTGTTCGGAAATTGTCGAGCAGCTGGGAAATATTGACGGCAAATAATATTTGAAAGTTAGGAATAAACATGGATCTACTACCGACATTATGTTTCTTATTAACGATTCGTGTATATATTTTTCGTAGTACCTACGATTATTGATATAAATGATCTTGAAATACATGTTGAGATTTTTCGTATCAATGTTCAAAATTTAAGTTCAATTAACATCTTGAATATCATACTTAATTCTTGAGTAAATATAATTTTATTTTAAAAAATTAAAGGATGATGTAAATATGTATCATTATTATAATTTTATATCACTGTAAAAAAAGGTAATTTTTCGTTTCATCGCATTTGTTTGTTCATGTTCAAATTGGCTCATATTTAAGGTCAATGTATTTCTATGTTGAAGCAGAATCAAATTGTTACTAGCATGCCTATATTGGTTGAAAATTATGTAGCAATAACGTCCCTCTTAGCTTTGAATTAGTAGTAATTGAAGCCAGAATGCCGGATACAGGTTGAAATAAACATGTTTCAGCAAGGAACAGACCAGCACTTCTAATTTCACAAGTGGCTTTCCAAACTAATGAGGTTTTGATGAACAAAGCAACGGGCCGATATACTGCTGAACACAACCACGACGTCCCCCTCAGTCTGAACACAATAGGAACTGCTTATCCGGAGCCGAGGGTGGCCTACAATGCGGCGTATACAGCGCATCAGGACTCTTAAGGATGGCTGGAATATGGCCTTGCAAATTGTCCTATCGTAAACTCGAGGCAGGGGGAAGATTTAAAGTAGTCCGTGTCTCGCTTGGCGCCTCCCAACAATAGCCTCTTTAGAACGAGCACTTGCCTTCCCAACTCGACGCGCAAATTAGATGCACTAACCGCGAAATGTCAGACGATTAAAGCAACCTAGCTGTGGCGTGCCAAGGATGGTGAGCGTTTGCGTAGACTTATAAGAAATGGGAAAGACTTAATCTTCGTAATTGTGCAGGGACCATCGTCGTGTGAAGTAGGGTGACTCTGTTGGGAAAAAAAGATATCTTTTAGAAATTCATCAGTGAAAGCTGAAAACCTTGTGCAAAAAGAAATGATGAAACTATAGGTATATTTAGTACAATTATCATCCAATTTTTCTGCCGACCCTTAATTTTCAGTATACGAATTCAAATAAACGAAGATTTGGAATGTGATAAACTATTCTACGACGTGGTGGTGTTTTTGCGTAGGTGTTTTCTGTCGCAAATGATGCGACGAATTTAAATTTGAATACTTCTACAAGTCCAGTGGCCAAACCGTTTTTTAGTACCTACATCTGAAGGTGGTTATATTTTAAAATCTGTGCCACTATATAATGAGATAGCCGGGCCACATGTACAAGGCACCTGTTCAATTAAATATACCACAATTGTGATGAGGCCGTGGCTACGTAGTTCATCTAATCAGTCTGTTACCAATCATTTATCTACTGCAGTCTAACATGTAACTCGCTACCTATTAGAATTATCAGCGTCTTTTAGACGGCCACAGTATTTATTAGGTAATTTACAGCTTGATGAGCCATTCGCTTCAGCAGATGCTGCTAAAAATGCACGGCTTCTTGTGTCGCCCTGCCTGCGATGTCAACCCTATCTAAAATGGCTATCAAATTCGATCGTAGTACATCACAAGCATGTCCAATTGTTTTATTATTGGGGCATTGAAGTTCGCTCTACATCAATGCGTAGCTGCCATATGGGCAACTCGAACAGACGAAAGAATTGCCGGACAACAACAAGCCATATGCTCGCCTGTCATAATAAACCACCTTCGATCGCGGTTGTACTTGTATTATCAAGTAAAATCAATATCGTAATTTGGATATATTTTTACCGTAATATCTTTGAATATCGTAATATATTGGTAATATATTTGGATAATAGATTGAATATTTGAAATAAATCATAGTTCAAAATCATTATTCTGCAGAGTACATCGGGCGATCAAGTCTATTGGCTCTAACTTTCTTATAAACAGATAATAATTTTAGTTGAATCACCGAATTATATTTGCCGAAAACCTATTCTAACTCATTACAAGACAAAGCATTTGCAGCAAAAACAGCGGATCTTGAAATATCATGGGAGTTTTGGTGAAACAATCATCTTGTTACAGATTTATTTAGTGGCAATGACTCGGTCTCATTGTGTATTTCCCGGAAGATGATTAGTTTAACCCTCGGTATAAGTCAAATTTGTGCTCGCACCAGGCAATGAAGTGCACACACATCCCGCCGTGCCCAAACGTACGCTTCGGTATGAACTGGGAAGGTGCGGTACTGGGATGGTCTATAAACTTGACCTAATAAATGAAATTTTTTGTTCAAAAGTCAAGCGTCTTGTTGCGGTCGTTTCCATGAATTCCAAGGTTTATTCTAAATTTGGAATAAATTTATTACTTCCGACTGGCTGTCCACGCTTTGTTTTTTATTGTAATTTCTGTGGCTTTATCTCTGAACATTTAACAAACACGTTGCGTCACATTGGAAGCAGCCAAGGCAAAGTGTGAACAAACTTTCGAGAAAATAAAACTTGTGAAGGAAGAATTTAATTCTGACCTACGAACTGAGCTTATCTTTCAGCAAATACGCCTATCATCGTCAACTGGGAAATTGAATATTACTGTTTTCAATGGTACACAAAAATCTTGAATACAATTATTCATTCATATTCAATGAATATTACTGTTTTAATGGTACACAAAAATCTTGAATACAAATATTTATTCATATTCAATCATGTAGTTCTGTATTATTTGAACAAAAAACTTTTCTCGAGTATTAATGAGTTTATTTTCGCAAGTATTAAATCTCATTAACGTTTCTCGAGTATTAATGAGTTTCATCTTGCGAATATTTAATCTCATTAACGTTTCTCGAGTATTAATGAGTTTCATCTTGCGAATATTTAATCTCATTAACGTTTCTCGAGTATTAATAAAATTTACATATTCTGAAAATATCATACGGAATAGAGACAAAAAATTAAAACTTGCATCCATTATTTATTTGAACATTTCTCTTCTTTGCGATCGTTAGCTGGACTAAAATTAACCTTTACATTTACAATTTTGTTTAAATTTAGAACAAATTATTTTTGCAACAATGACTGAATTTAAATCACTATTATTTCAAAATGGCACATAAGCTTATGATCAGACGATTGTTATTCAATTTATATTGAATCAATAATTGATACACTCTTCCATGGCTAAGATTCTAATTTCACCATCTGGTACTCGAAGGAATTTATTTCCGGGCTGGAGGCTGTTACGAAAAATGAAAATGTCGAAAGATGTTAGATTTTAATGAGATATTTATAGACATATCCATAATTTGTAGAATTTAACTTATTTTTCTAATTACTAAAGCTAAATGGAGCTATTGGTTTACCTACCCCGGGTTTACTTCAGATTTATTATCCTATATATAGTTGTATTTAAGACTTTAATATATAACTCCAATAGATTCTCTTGAAATCGTTTTTATTTAATACGTTCCATTGTCTATCAGAATCCCATATTCTCTGTATATTCACGTTAATGTTATAATGGTTATATACCCCTAGACAGTCTGTCTGTCTGTCTGTCTGTCTGTCCGTCTGTCTGTCTGTCTGTCTGTCTGTCTGTCTGTCTGTCTGTCTGTCCGTCTGTCTGACTGTCCGTCTGTCTGTCTGTCTGTCTGTCTGTCCGTCCGTCCGTCTGTCTGTCCGTCTGTCCGTCCGTCCGTCTGTCTGTCCGTCTGTCCGCCCATCTGTCTGTCTGTCTGTCTGTCCGTCTGTCTGTCAGTTTGTCTGTCAGTCTGTCCGTCTGTCTGTCCGTCCGTAACTTCAAATTTTCGTCGATGAGAAAATGCGCTCTCTGTCACTCACTGCAGTGAGTATACTGAGTTATATTTTTTGTATCTTTGGTGAGACAAAAACTTGGCAATCTTTGGTGAGAGTCAATCTTTGATTTTGAAATTCTCTCTCACCAAAGATTGCCATGATTGTCGAGTACTGAGTTATATTTTTTAACCCCTGTACTTTATTTTCTTCCGACAGGGGTTGACATATCATCTCCTAAGCGCGCACCACAGCAATGCAATCCAGATATATTATTTATTTGTATCATAAGTATTTTTGATTAGTAATTTTTTAACCCCTGTACTTGATTTTCTTCCGACAGGGGTTGACATATCATCTCCTGAGCGCGCACCACAGCAAAGCAATCCAAACCTGCAGCCTAACACCAGCATGCTGCTGCTGCAGCCTCAGGTGATCCATGCGCACCCTTTTACAGAATCCTATTTATTAATTTGAATTTGTGATAAGGCTTATAATTAATAAATAAAAATAATCCTATTTATTATTTTGATCTGACTTATAATTAATAAATAAAATTAACCCTATTTATTAATTTGAACTTATGATCTGGCTTATAATTAATAAATAACATTAACAGAATCCTATTTATTATTTTGATCTGGCTTATAATTAATAAATAACATTAACAGAATCCTGTTTATTATTTTGAACTTATGATTTGGCTTATAATCATTAAATAACATTAACAGAATCCTATTTATTATTTTGAACTTATGATCTGACTTATAATTAATAAATAACGTTAACAGAATCCTATTTATTGTTATTTTATTTATTCTTTATTCATGCAGCAGCAAAAATCATTACAAGAAAATAAACAAATAATATATATTATTTTGAACTTATGATCTGGGTTATAATTAATAAATAACATTAACAGAATCCTATTTATTATTTTGAACTTATGATCTGGCTTATAATTAATAAATAAAATTACGCAGTAATAAGGAACTGATAGTATCAAATTTAAGTTCTGTAGGACGTGTATCCGGCCTGTCTCCTGTGTAATATCGTAAACAAGGTCAAAATTTTACGAATTTCCAAACGTCCCTACAGCCCCAAATGCCTGAATTATTAAATTATACTCGCATATTAATGAATGATGAGAATAGTTTAATTTACAATTATTAGCATAATGCAAGTTCCTATTTATTATAATCCAATACGTATCACAAATATTGAAATTTCTGGTCACCCGATGATAATGTTTTATATTTTTGTCCGATTTATGAAAATTTATGGATTTTCTGTACCTATTGACAAAAGTTGCATAATGCAATATTCAGCAAATAAATAACTATTCAAATGATAACTTATTTGCCTTTTTTGGTTGTAATCTAAATTATGACATAAATACGAATTGATATATTATCACGTTAATATTAATTTATTAGCAAACACAACGTAATTGGGCACTGCTGCTTTGATACCCTAAAATTTCATGATCCCGTTCCCAATATACCGGTAGGCATTAATCCATTTTTCGATGACCATAACTGGGTTAATAGTTTTGCAATTAATGTAATAATAATTCGAGAAAGATTTTTCTTAGTCATTTTTGGAAATTTAATTCCATATTAATTGTTTATTTGTTCAATTTCTCATTTCTGATAAAATTATCTCCCAACAAGTTGAAAATCACGTAGGAATTCATAAATTCAACTCTCTATTTTACAACGCACAATTCTGACTTCAAAAATAAAATTTCCGGCTCAGAGAATATCCCCACGCCAAAATATGCACAACCCACCAATAAATGTACAAAAATATATAAAAAATTCATTATTACTGAGAGAAATTTTGTAAATTTATTACCTTGCATTTACAATGTGATAAGTAAGTATTTGGGTTGAATGTAAATATTATGAGAAATAGAGGCTACAAGTTTGAAATTTTTGCGAAACTTTTGAGCTTTGAAAATACTGGCTCAAGGCACCCCCGATTTTATTTTAAAAATGCGAAACAGGAATTTTGTCCGTGATTATTGCTTTTTCTCGATGACTCTTTCACTAGTTTTTGAAATATATTAAAAACCATACGCCAGTGATACAGATTTCTAAGAATGAATGCTGTAGAAATACGTTAATGAAAAGCACCCTTGCAAATGGTAATTTGCGCATGACAGTAATTTTTGTCGTTGTGAAAATCAATTTTTTGGCCGTTCTAGGGTTTTTACATTTCCCTAATAATCACCACATAAAGTGAAATCAACTTGGGAAAAATTTTTCTGTTATAAAAAAATGCACAACATTTCTTTTCGTGAATTATTAATACGACGAGTGAAATTCTGATCATTGTTTAGGAAATAAAACCAGCATCCAAGAATTATCTACACATAACTAATAATGTGGATTCTCGAACGCTAACAATTATTTTCGTGTGGAATACTTTCAAGAACTAAACTAACGACAGTCAAACACCAAGATATACCGAAAGGCATTTTCGAAAGTTTCTTATGGTCAATGTTCAATTATATTTCAGCTTCATTGACGATCACCACTCGCTCTCCTTATGGAGAAATTCCCCTGTCATCTCATTCAGTCCATCCCTTCTGTTGGCACGATCTTGGTCTTGTTTTGGGCAACGATGCCTGAAATATCATCAGAGCCCGCTGATTACAGAGCTTCGTTAACTTGCTGAAGAAACATCGCATGCAGTTATTATGCATGCCTTCTTCATTTATACATGATGTACAGTATCGCATACTTAGCATACGCTTGCCATGAGGATATTAAAATATTGCTTCTCTTTCTTTGTATTCTGAAGCCAAACCATTACTTCGGTCAAGGTTATAATAAAAAGATTTGATGCCAACATTAAAATCGAGGTTCAACGTCATGAAAGAAAACGCGAATAAAGCCCACGTGATCATCGAGTGTTTATGATAATCTAAAATAGATTAGATGCATATATAATACGAATGTTGAGATTAGTTTAAAATATTGAATCAAATCGAGCACATGTGGAAAATGAAATCCATCATTCCAGGTTGGTATTTTTAGTCATCGTCGACCAGCCACGGAATCAACTGAAAATAACTGATGCAAATTATCCGATTAAAATTCATCTATGAGAAAAATGGAGGGTCTCGCTTCAGGAACGACAACCATCATAACCATTGTCAGTTCACACAACTACGACCCAGATGTCATTGCTTCCAATGGTCAGAGAAGAACACCTTCTCCAACTTTTGCTCCTCTACTTCCCGTAAACCTGAGTCTTCCAAATAACATTTCGAGTGACTCGGAGGTCCATCACCTCCACCTGGCGAGCGCTGACCAAGTTCAATTCCATTCTATTCACCACGCCCACCTCAACACTGATGACGAGCCGCTAAGCCCTGGGACAATGCGATGCTGTGTTAGTTCAACGCCGTCTCCCTCTACGGTAGGAAAAGAAAGATGGATTCACGCAGCTCATGTTTATAAGGCACTGGTATTTTTGCCGCTGTAAACATCTACACAACGTCTTAACAAAGTATCTATCAGCACCGTTAATCTGCACAAATGACTGGATCAAGTATTTGCGAGAAATCACCAATCACACTAATATCAAACACTGCACCACGTCCTGTAATTAAACACCTCTGAAGCGTCACCGTAACGAGTCTATAAGCAAAGCCAAGACCACAGTTCTTTGTCCGCAGCTGTACATTTGGGGTTCCGTTCGATGTAAAATCTTAAAAAAATGTAATTTTGGGAAAAAAAATTCAAGTGAAATCATTAAGACATACCTACGACGTTAATCTAACTGTTGATTATGAGTATCTTGCGTATTTGATTACATTGCTCTCTGGTAAATTTTTAATTTTTCTTTCCAGACAATGCTACATTCCAGCGTGGCCGAGGTGCTGTCTGCATCATATGGTCTCACTTCTTTTGGTGAAGATCCTCTTGGAACGTCAACAGCAGATGATTTCAAGTTAGGTCAAGCTTTCACAACTCCTGCGCCGTCAACTTCATATGGAGATCCTGGTCATGAGCCAACGTTTAGTGATGTTTTTCATCCCGAATTTATTTTAGGGCCTTCCCCTCTTGAAGATTTGAAGCCTGTCATCACACAGCAACAGCAGCAGGCTCACCAGCAAGCTCACCAGCAACACCAAGCTCAGCATCATCATCCTCAGCAACAACCACTCATCCACCAAGCGCACGTACCAAGAATCAGCCCGCCTGGCTCTCCAGGACTCGCTCTGCCCAGTTTTCAGGAGACATACTCACCTCGGTACCGGCCGCTCTCAGATGAAGTTTTCAATTTCAAAACTGATGAACAATCAGGAGAATGCTACCCTGCTCCCCCTCCAGCTCATCAAACTTTTCCTGGCACAGCCCAGCAACATCCATCTCCTGCTTCTCATCCTCAACAAGTGGCTTCTACAACTCAGCAGCAGCACCAGCATCAACCTCAAGCTCCACACGTTCACCACCAACAACAGCAAGCACAACAACAACAACAACAACAGCAACAACAGCAGCAACAGCAACAACAGCAACAACAGCAGCAACAGCAGCAACAGCAACAACAACAACCACAACAGCAGGCTCAACCACAACAGTCTCAGCAACAACTGCAACCAACTCATCATCCACCACAGCCACAGCAGCCATCTCTTCCACCAACTTCTCAAACCCATGCTCAACACGTCCAGCACCACTCGCATGTACACCATCATCCGCAACAACATCCGTCTCCGCATCAGTCTCATCCACACCACCAAATTGCATTCGAACATTACCCTTCTGGGCCCTCGCAAATGTTTGCCCGGGTTTCAGCCTACCCTGCGACATCAAGTTCTCCGCATTCCTACACTCCTCCGGCTACGAGTTTTCCAGGAGAATTTTATCCTCCGCCTCCACCTCCACCACCGTCTTATGAGTCTCTCCAGCCAATGGGAACTTCTGAGCAGTACCTGCGAGCATCGACCTCACATCATTACCCAGATATGACCGTTGCTTCTCAAATGGCTTTCCTGACACGTAAGCCTGAAATTGACCCCACAGTGGCAAGGCTCCACACCCCAGTAGGTAGAGTTCAGGAGCAAAAACCGCAATCTCCAAGTCAACTATGTGCGGTTTGCGGAGATATAGCTGCTTGCCAGCATTACGGCGTCCGTACCTGCGAAGGGTGCAAGGGTTTCTTCAAAAGAACTGTACAGAAGAATGCCAAGTACGTATGTTTAGCCGATAAAAATTGTCCTGTGGACAAAAGGCGACGGAATCGATGTCAGTTTTGCCGGTTCCAAAAGTGTTTGACAGTAGGAATGGTTAAGGAAGTAGTCCGGACTGACAACCTTAAAGGACGACGAGGAAGGCTACCATCTAAACCAAAAAGTCCTCAAGAATCCCCTCCATCTCCTCCAGTATCTTTAATCACGGCCCTTGTTAGGGCTCATGTAGATACTACGCCGGACCTCAATAACTTAGATTATTCCTTATATCAAGAACCGGATAGTGCTAGATCTGATGTTCCTACTTCTGAAGCCGAGAAGATTCAACAGTTCTACAGCCTCTTGACCTCAAGCATTGAAGTTATACGGCACTTTGCCGTGAAAATTCCTGGTTACCACGACTTGCCGAGAGAAGACCAAGACCTTCTATTTCAAAATGCATCCCTGGAGCTTTTCGTATTAAGATTAGCCCACAGGCTCATGTGAGTTCTGCTTTGAATTCAAAAGTTGACAAACACATATTGATGCAATTTGTAAAAATCCTGCGAAGATTCCATCAAACATGAATCTGAAGTTTTGAGCTTTTTTCCTTCTCGATGAATTATTATTGTGCGCATAATTAATATTAATTAACTATCAATAGATGCCTGATTTTTTTGTTCAGGATAGGTAATCATCACTAAAAATGACTCTCATCATTGATTGCCTTAGTAATCAAAAACTTTGTTTATTTGCAGGAAAAACCCGGAAGAAAACAAATTTATTTTCGACAATGCCAAAGTTCTCCACTTGAGCCAATGCGAACGCTCATTCGGGGAATGGCTGCAATGTATCCTGGATTTCGCCACTTCTTTGAAGACGATGGACGTAGATTTATCGGCCTTTGCTTGTCTGTCAGCCCTCACGGTCGTTACAGGTGAGCATCTTAACCTTTTGTGTACGTACGGATACATTGACCGTCGTTAATATTATACGCACATGTACAGGTTAATTAAATACATCAAATAACACTTCTTCCTAATACTTTTTAGCACATTTTCTCATTTATGAAAAAATGCACTTTTGTGCTCGCCATGTCCATCCGTCTGTCTGTCTGTCTGTCTGTCCGTCCGTGACCTCAAGTTTTCGTCGACGAGAAAATGCGCTCTCTGTCACTCACTGCAGTGAGTACTGAGTTATATTTTTTCATGAAATAGTATGCAAATCTACAGTAGATGCTGGTCCCTCTAAAAAAATGTCTGATTCGCTCAAAAAGAGGGTGGATTAGAAGTTATGCACTTATATCAAGTAAACTGGGACTGTACTGTTCATCCGCCGACTTTTTTTAATGCACCAGGTTAATCTTAGGTACCCATGCGTCAACTGCAGACATGACCGTATCCCTGAGGTGTGACAATGACTCAGCCACGTTCGTGTCATTAATACAGTCCAAAATATTTACTGCATTCACTGCTTCACGGGGTTTTACACAGTCGCCTTTTGCAAAGTTCAAATGCTCACGCTTCTGAGGCTCCGTTTTTATGTAGCACTTAATCCTAAAAAAATTATTGTTGGTGGCTTTTGTCCAACGGAGCCTCGTAGCGAAGCTCGTCCAACATTGATTCATCACTAGTAGATATTAGGACTAAACCATTGGGAGTTAATGCGCCTCTATAATAGCTGGGTGACGTTCTGGAATGAAAGTCTCTCACTGACTCCATGAACAATTAATGATGCTGGGAGATTTACATTCCTTCGAGATAAACCAACTGTCCAGTTAACTTCTGGCTGGTTAAAGTCACCAACGATCAATGTTTGCGACCTACTGGAAGTCATGTTCGGCAAAAGGCTGTTTTTAGCGCATTTTCTCATTTATGAAAAAATGCACTTTTGTGCTCGCCATGTCCTGTCTGTCTGTCTGTCCGTCCGTCCGTCTGTCCGTCCGTGACCTCAAGTTTTCGTCGACGAGAAAATGCGCTCTCTGTCACTCACTGCAGTGAGTACTGAGTTATATTTTTTCGTGAAATAGTATGTACATTTAAAGTGGATGCTGGTCCCTCTAAAAAATGTTCTGATTCGCCAAAAAAAGTGGATTAGAAGTTATGCACTTATATCAAGTAAAACAATGAATTAAATTAAATATTTTAAATTTGATGCAAGATATTTTTTTTCCAGAGCGACACGGACTGAAAGACGCCAAGAAAGTCGAACAGCTTCAGATGAAAATTATTAGTTCGCTGAGGGACCACGTCACCTACAACGCAGAGGCCCAGAAAAAACCTCATTATTTCTCACGAATTTTAGGCAAGCTTCCTGAACTGCGGTCACTTTCAGTGCAAGGACTTCAAAGGATTTTTTACCTGAAACTTGAGGATCTGGTTCCGGCTCCGCCACTTATAGAGAACATGTTTGTGTCGAATTTACCTTTCTGAACTTTGGATAATTGAGGAATTATTGCAACCTCCTTTCTAATTATTTTCAGTGCTAGGTCGCAATCTGGTTGGTATAAATTAAAACACGTCCAGGACTAGATTATTAATCCAGGACTAGATAACTAGTTTAAGACTAGACCCTATTAGACCCACGTGGACTAATTGGAATTAGTCCAGGACTAGAATTAGACCAGGACTAGGTAATTAGTCCAGGACTAGATAATTAATCCAGGACTTGATAATTAGTCCAGGATGATCGCACCAATATACCTACACCAAATTCGTCTAAATTGCAAATAAATGATTGAAATGTACCACACCGAATGTTTATCACAATTTTGACTCTTCTCCAAGTAAAGTTATAATAGGTGAAAGACGTGTCATTGTTTAACGTAAATACGATGTCGACAAACGTCGTCATTTATAAGAAAGAATATATTGTGGTTTAGCATTACGAAGAAACTTAATCGTAGTAGTTGGCCACTTAGATCAGTTTCCATTATAGTTGCGTTCGATGTGCTCTATATCTCTCTCTTCCAGATGCTTTCCATTCTATTTTGTCCGTAAGAGCTTCTACTCTATTTTTGGACTAGAGCTTTCCAATCAATTTTGTCGTGTCCTAATCATTATTAATCTAGATAAATGTAAGAGTTGGTAGAATTTAGTCGACATTTGCTCTCTCATATCAGTGTACCGTGTTCAACGACGTTTTTTGTCCGAAACAAGACTTGGATATTATATCTTGTATGTCTAATGCTTTCAGGTCCAAGACACGTAAAACATCTTCATAAAACCTCGTTCAATTAAGATATATACTTCTTTGTCTTAATTGTTCATCTAATTTAGCGGTGCTACGTTCCAGTCATACAGGAGGAAGAGTTTCAGATTATGTTCTTTGTATTATATGTTAGGGAAAGCGATTCCTTTTGTAAAAACGCACAATCTCAAGCGAAATATTTTAAGTAGGATTATGAGGTTACCAGTCTTCAGGAACTACATGGATTGACATTGCAGGGAAACTTTTGCTTGTATCGGATTTCTTTGGATATTTCAGGTGTTAAAAATTTCGGGATATTACCTGATATTTCGAATGAAATTGTATCAATGATTTATTTCCTGGAGAAGTTTATATCTTGGGAGCTGCGTACAAGCTCTTGAGTTTTCCAGCAATGCCAATCTTGTTTCCTGAAAGGACGCTTAGTACAAGTCTTTAACTATGGTTGCCTGCACAATTTCAGTCATAAAGAATGGAAAATATTGTAATTTTACCTTTGTTTAGTGAGAGCATATACTTCTATGAAAAATATCTAGCTCCTTTATGAAGAATTTATTTTACGTATTTTTAACAAAGATTCTACCGATTAGTGAGCATTCTCTTTGAACCAACGCAACTATTAGTATTTCTTAGTTTTTCGTGTTCTCAAAATTGTTAAAATTGTAAATCATTACATTATCAAAGATATTAAATTTTAATCTCATTGTTAAAGTATCTGAGACTCACTCATGACAGTTATACTTAAAACTATCAATTGTGTGAAAGTTATGAATTTCATTTAATTTAGTACAACAATGGATGTTTCATATGACAATGTACGTTCTCGCACCACCAATAAAAAATTGTAGGATATATAGTTACGTCGCAAAGAAACCGTCATTAGCTTTGTACTGTTCTAAATTTTTCCATAGCAGCCCAACTTACTACGCTTTTATTTTCTTCTATTCAGTTCAGGCTGGGCCGCCTTACACTGTTAACTAACGGGATTCTAACGATTTAAATATTCACTTATCAGAATTGCATAAAGTTCTCGAAGTTATTTTCACTGAAACATCTACGATTCTGAACTGGTCTCTCATTGGTTGTACCGGAAAGATTTAATTTAAATGTATTCTGTTCCCATTAAAGCGATAGGAACAGTTAAGCTACGATTGGAAAAATGTTTTTATAAGGGTAAACTATTTCAATGGTAAACAAACCAGAATTTATAATCAAATTTTTGATCCAGGTTTTCTCGTGAGTTTCAGAAAATCGTATACCGGAGAGCCTCGTGTCTGATTTTCGGTCGTGAAAAATGACACCAGTCGCCGGGTATGAAAATTTTTAAATACGTTATTCACCCTGTCGCTGCAACCGATACAAATTCATAGATGAAATCAAACCTTACTAGAAATTTGATTCTTGACTGTAGCTTTGTTTACTGCTCAACAATGATCGAGAAACTGTGGTTAATTCCTGGAATCTATAGGTTTATTGACAACCGCATTTTTAATTCAACGCAATTAATGTTGACGTCGCAAAATTTCCACTCTTCCACTTGCTTATGGAATGCACACTCGTAATTCCAGCAGAGAAAACTAATTTGTTCTTTGATTGGGTGGTCATAAACTCGAATCCTTACGAATTATTACTACTGGTGAAAATTCATTTCAAATTGGCTAATTATCTTTGAATAATTAACCATTGAATCTACTCGAATTCGATTTCTATTGATCTCTCTCGAAAGCCATTTTCAGTGAAGTTCAATTCGTGTCTGTATTTCAAATTTCGTCGATCGCTGGTGTAAATATAAAGTAATTATAATGTTACTCATCATTCAGAAAATAATTGTCGAGTTACATATTTCTATGTTTGATTGGCACGGCATGTAATTAGCCATTTAGTTCTGGGAAACAGTTTGGTCAAGACTCTGGTCGTTACAAACGACGAACTAGTCATCATGTGATTACGAAAAAGGAACGCGATGGTACACTAAAAAGAATACTATCTATACTATATAAGAAAAATTCCGGTAAGAACCATGTATTTTTGTATACCTATCCTTAAGTTCAATTATACTTAAGTTCGAGAAAATAAGCTTTTTGAAAGCATTTCTAAATGAGTGTGTTGTACAAATGTGTACATAAACGCCAGCTAAGTTAATTACGTTACTAGCCCAGTGCTTGCTGTTCTAGTACGGCCTTCGAATTAATGACAGCGCTTTAGGGTAATTCGAAATAATTGTAAAGGGTAATTCGAATTAGTGCGGATTTAATTAGATCCGTAGGATATAGAGTAAATTGTTTTATTCGGTCAGTGACAAGACTAAGAGAGATTAATTATGTAAGTCAATTATTAATGAACGACTGAACGTAGTTAATATACGTCAATGCCCGTGATTTCTCTAAGACGTCGATATATTTTGATGAACTATAAGAAATGATTGGTTTGACGGCTTACTTTGATTTCACGAATAATAATAATATTCTAATTGGAATAATTGTCTTGTAGGTTAATTTTTCTACAAATTTGATGTGCTGGTCCTAGTGTTATGCAGATGCAAATTTGGGGAAATTTTGAAACTAAAATGAGGGAAAAATTCGGGGAAATTGTGAAACTAAAATTAAATTCAACCCTAACGTCCAAATCCTGTTGTGCCAGAAAAAGGTGATATCTTTCTTAATCCCTCATTAAATGAGTGATATTTTTGTCGTTCAATTAAGTATTTGATCATAGATTATTTATTATATATCATTGCTATCGAGGCACATGGAGAATTTCAATGGCCGAATTAAATAGAAATAAAATAAAGGCTTAAACCATATTATGGTTAGAAAAATTGTTAAGTGTTGTTAGTTGGAAAACCTTAAAAATTGTCATTTTCACAGATGAATAATTTGTGCGTGTACGTGTGGTATCGATTATTCAGAACAATATAAGACCTTCTATTGAATGTTATTGTTACATGATTACGACGTTTCGTGAATGAAAAAATCGTCAACGATCACTAAAGAACTGCCTATAATTGAGTTTTCGTTTCGATAATTCACTAAAAGAAACTTGCACTTCAGTGTCAATAATAGCGGCCCACTTGTGCTTGAGTGTTTGATACTCCTGTAGTTACAATGATTGTGCTTGTCTTGATGTTACACTTCTTTACGTTGGTGAAAAAAGAGTTTAAATATATTACTTAAAGTATATTCGCAACAGAAATGTATTCAATTGTGTAGCTGATATTGACCCGCTGTAGGTCAAGGGGGAAATTTAGTGTTGGTTGTGGTCATTAGACACTGACGATCATGTGTTATTAATTTAAATAAGTCAACAATGAATACATTAATATTATTTTGGGAAAGGGAACTGCTGGACTCAAACGAAATGCCGTATTTTCACGACCAATGAATATTTAGTTTTACATAGGATGTCGACAAAAAGTTTCATGAATATTAGTTATTTTGGATCGTAGGCTTTCAGGTTCTGAAAATTATTAAATGTTAAATATATTAAGCAAGCGAATTATATTCTAAAAATGGTAGTAGAAATTCACACAAGGTTTTACCAGCCTTCTGAAGCTCCAGTTGCTCCATATCAAGTACATTATATGCGTTAAATTTTGCTAACATCTAAGTGAGTAGCGTATGAGTCTTGTAGCACCAATAACATTTACGTATTGTAGTTGTCTTAGTTGCCATATATGAAGGTTGTTCTCTCTATCTCTCTACTGCAAAGTGTTTTCATGTTCTCTGGTAACAAGTTTATTATTATATATGCGACTAAATGCTCATTTGAATCGTTGATGCCTTGATAACAGTTTTTATGTGGTCAACCGTAATCAATTTGAACAGGATGGAACAAAAACTAAAATTGATATCTAAAACAAACCAATATCTAATAAATTAGCTTTAATATTTTCGTTCTTTACGCATGTATTTAATTGTTTTCTAATTCATATTCGCCTCGTAAGGCAGTGTAATCTTCAGTCAACCAAAAATTAACAATGTGCATTTAATGCATGAAATATTGTCGTTACGATACTTTAATAATTGTAATAAATCAGAGACAAATCTTCAATTATTTTTAATGATGCCGAAACCAAATCGCCTAAGTTAACTTAATACGTTCCTGAGAGTTACTTTATTCGACGTAAGATATTCTTTCTATTTACGATATTCCAGCTTAACTCATTAAGTACAAAGTGAGCTGCTACATTTGTGTCTAAGCTGCCAGTTTCCGTTCCATGTTCACTCATGCACCGCAGTGTGCGCGATCTGTTACAAAATTTGTGAAAACTCTGGCAGAATTTAAAATCTTACGAAATAAATAAGAAATAAGATAATTTTGGGTTTATTGTTGACATCAGCCGTGTGAAAACTTTGGCAGAATTTAAACTTCTACGAAAGAAATAAGATAATTTTAGTTTATCATCAGCCGATAACACGGTCATGCTGTTTCAGGTGATGTTATAATAATAAATAAAAATGTGAGACTTTTGAAGACGCTCTTTCCATGTTTCGCATTTAATCGAAAGTCGTTATGTTCCGTAAGCAGCTCCATGATGGCAGTCATGTTAACGGTAATCAAAAGCAAGTACAGTTCAACGATTATACATCGTCCGGTGATGACGCCAGATATGCCAGCAATAGTCCTGAATTACAGTTATCTTAAAGTTGTACAGCAATTTTTGTGGAAAAGTGTTGATCCTGCCACTGTGTATTTCTCTAATTTCAATTTACGGAAGGAAATGATGTTCTTTTATTTCTATATGCTGCAGTCCTAAAATATTATTAAATATATGACAGTGAAATACCATGTTTTACTCTCTGCGTGTAATGAAATAACAAGGCCACGCATGGCGTCGTTATAAAGAATCAAATTTTCACCACATCAGGTCCGGAATTTTTTCTAATCGATACCCGAAGCTAACATGTGAACGTGTGTCAGCGGTGGTCGATTCGAGCCATATTATAGACATCGCCGAGGTTAAGATATTCACATAACTAATAGCAAATCCTAATGATCGAAGGCAAGAATGAATTTCATCGTCAATATAATATATTATTATCATTCCTACTCATTTGTCTAGACTTCGAAGTAAATTTTATTTGCACAAACTAATAACAATCTCGAAACTTGACAGAGAACGCAAGGCTGGAAAAATTAGCAACTCGAGTCACAATATTTTTCTTCCCCTTTCTCATTGTTAATATTTTTAAGATCTTTTGAAATAAATTGAAGTAAAATAAATATCTTCACCATCTCAAATTGAATTTATCAAATCTTAATCTGAACCGTCCTTACAAATTGAATTAAGATTATCCGGAAAGACCAAAGCTGGCAGCAATAATGATTAAGTAAGGAGTAGAATTGTTAGCTAGCGCGTCAGCTAACAAGCTATTTCGCACCGGAGGTCAAAAGATAACATCGCCAGCAAGGTGGAAGGTCTATATTATTCAAAATCTCAAATTAATCATCACCCACAAGAGGCGGAAGGTCTCAATTGTCCAGCCCACTGAACAAGAGCCACACTCGAACAAGAGGTCGCT